CACGTGAGCCCCGGACAAGGGCACACCTTGCCGCTGGGCCAGCCTCTCCGGGAAGCAAACCACCTGGAGGCTGCATGCTGGAAAGGCTGCGGCCGTGACGGCCGTGGGGATGCCCGCCAAAAAGAGGGCTCCTCCCCGCACGTTGTTGTAGAGCAGCGATGGGGTCTGGGCGGACTTCCCCCGCACGGTCGCCAACCGGTCCCATTTGCTGTCAGCTGGGTTCAAATCCAGGCACTCCGGGATCTCCAAGAAGTTGCCCGGGAGCTCGGCTGGTTCTGCCGGGCGCCTGGTATCCACCGAGGCAGGAACTTCGCCGACCTCCGCATCCTCGACCTCCACAACGCGGTTGGCTGCTGCGGCCTCGCGGAGCTCCTCGGCCGACGGTCTGGATGACATGGGCCCGGCCGGGGCGGCGATTGGCAGCGGCGGTGGCAAAATCCTTCGGCGCTTCTGAGCCGGCGCCTCCGATGGCGCCCCTGCGGGGCGGGTCGCCCCCACCTCCACAGGGTCAGCCGGCACAGGCAGCCCCAGCTCGCGAAGCTTCGCCTCCGTCATGCGCCGCTTTGCTCGGCACTCGCTTGCCGGGTGGCGTCCTCCACACGCCCTGCCCGTCTGCTGCAACATCGCGCACAAGTGCTCCCTTGCGCACGGGTCCTGGCGGCATTCGCCTGTGTTGAAGTCCGGGCACAACGCTGTACCGTTCTTCAGATGCCCCGTGAGGAAGATCTCGCCCAGCCTGGCTGGCATGGCCCTGGCCGATGGAGCCGGCTTCCTCATTCGCTCACGGGCGCTGTGCACGAGCGACTGGCTCAGGGAGAAACGCCGCTTCAGCGCCGTGGTCTGCGGTGCCTGGGCCCAGATCACCTCTGTGTCCCCTCGGCAAGCCTGAGCGGCCTTGATCTTGGCCTCCTCATCGGCTTCGGCGACCTCCTCCTCGGTGACCGTCTCCCAGGCCTCGCAGTCCGCAACCTTGGCCGCCACGAGGAAGGCTCTCATCTTGGTACGCATGGACAAGGCGTACTTTCCGCCACTGTAGTGGAACGGCATCGCAACACGCTCCTCGACCTTGTCCTGCCAGTCTCCCAGGGAAACGATCTCCGCATCCTGAAGGCGGATCAAAGAGCCCACCGTCGGCAGCAATCTCCTCCAGGAATAGCTGGTGAGCTGCTCGAGGGGCTCCACCACGCCATGGAAAAGGTGCTGAGTCACTCTCTGCACCTCCCGGATGGGCCACGCCTGGCCAGAGGCTGGGTGAAAGCAGATGCCGCACTTGTCGTGCTGCTCCGGCGCTAGCCCCTGATAGTCCTCCAGCCACTTGTCGGCCCAATGCCAACCGTTGGAGAAACGAGCTGGTGCACACCAGTCGAATCCTTGCCGGTTGTGGGACTGCTTCCCTTTGCGGCAGTGGCCGTGGAAGAACTCCCTGCTGACCTTCACCGGCGTGGACAAGCACAAGTGCTTGTAGCGCAGGCAACCCGAAGCCACGAGCCACGACGACAGCGCTGCTGTCCAAGCTGGATCTCGGGCTTGCTGCATCTCGATGATCCGGCCCTCCAGGGTGAGCAGCATGGGCGGTTCCACCACCACAGCCTGGGACCTCGCCTTGCGCACCTTCCCAATAACTTTGGGGGGCTTCAGGCGGTCCAGCTGCCACTGCAACCTGCCGTTGTTGGACAGCCAGCGCAATGACTGCAGCGCTCGCGATGGCGACATAGCCTGCTCAAGGAAGGCGTGAAAGTCCAACTCCTCCGGGTCCTGCACGCCCCTGGCTGCCAGGAAGAGCGAGAGCTCCTGGAAAGTCCTCACCGCGTTCAGGATCGTGGTCGCCTCGGACTGGGTGACTCGCTCCTGAGCCAGCCTCCGAACCGCCTGCTGCCAGTCGGCATAGCGATCCGGGTTGTCGTACCTCCGGGGCCGAAGGACTCCCAGCTTCATGAAGGCCTCCGTCAGCAGGTTGACCCTGCGGCCTGCTTCGGCGTTGTCCGGGTTCTGCCTCAACCGCAGGCCCACGATGCTGGTGGGGAGCCGCACCGCCGGCCGACGGAGGGTCGATGGCCCCACCGGCGTCACTCGCCAGGGGTCCACCTCCACCACTGCCGCACCTGCCGGGAGGAGGTGGGCCTGTTGCTCCGCCCGCACCCGCGCCCATTCAGCGGCGACGAAGTGGCCACCCGCTCGAACATTGGCCTCCTGGACACGAGACATCAGCCCCTCGCCAGAGCCGCCCGGGCGGCTCCCGGAGTGCTCCATGGCTTCGGTGGCATAGCGCCCAGGAGTGGCATCACCGCGAAACGCCATGGCTAAGAGCAGCGCCCCCCCAGCGTAGAGCCTTGGCAGCAGCGGATGGGGCAGGCTTCGCATTGATGGATGCCACATGAAGCGCACACAGAGTGAGTCCTGCATCCGCAGTGGGCGCAAAGCCCGCCCAGAGGGAGGTTCCTCCTGCCCTCGTCCAGCCACCCACGGAGAAGCCTCCCCGCTGTGGCTCTGGCCAGGGAGTCGCTCTCCCTGGGCCATGGCTCGGTCCACCTCCGAGCGCCCAAGCTCCATCTCCTCCAGGTCCCCATGAAGCCCCTGAAGGACACGAAGTCGCCAGATTCCACCCGGCCCGCAATGGCGGAGACATACATCGGGATGATGTCCTGGGCGCGGAGGCCACTGCCTGCTTCAGCCACCATGGCCTCAGACAGGAGATCCAGATACGCCTTCTTGAACCAAGACTGCACGCCGGCACCAGGTGCCAATGAACGGGAACTTGAAGCCGCCAAGGGACCCGTCACATCTCGCACACTGGGCATCAATGCAGGGCGCAAATTGCAGGTGGGGTATCTCCCCACTATCAACCAAGGGCAGGGGAGCTTGCACGAAAGGGGCATGCAACACTTCCACAGCCGAAAGCCAGAGCATCCGGGCCTCGCCATGCTTCCCCTGCTCCAGCAAGTTGCCCACATGGCGCTTGAAGTCGAGGTAGGCGCCTGTGGACAGGATAGGACGATCCGTGTGCACGGCAAAGTCAACTCCTGGAACTGCCAACATTCGACAAGTAACACTTGCCGAACCCGCAAACCAGAAGTTAAAATTTAGCCAGTTTGGATCATGCTTGAGCCAAAAGGCCCCGCATGATCCAATACTCTCCTTGCAGAATGAAGCCTGTAAACCCAAGCCTTCCAACCTGATACAGGATTAGGACTGTTGCGTGCGGCGGTAACCAAACCTCAAAGATAGCCCAAGACCAAGAGAGGCACGAACGCAGCGAGGAAAGAGGCATGTGCCAACCTCACAGTAAGTTCACAAAAGGCACCACTACACGTATAAGCATAGAACAAGTCCTTCGCAAACTGAACGTCACGGCCAGCTGCCAATTAACGTGCGTTTTTCTCAGCCAATGTTACAAGAATCGTAAACCGGTTGACTTGACTAGCCTCTCCAGGTCAGGAACTCATTTGCGGGCACCTGCGCCAATCCAAATCTGGGCATCGCAAGTCGCATTTGGCGACAGCTTGAGGTTGGCTGGCCTCTGATATGTGTCGGCCGTTTTTCAGATCCAGGCGCCTCACATCCGACCTTCATGCGGCCCATGCACAAACGGGAGGATTGACAGCATGTCCTGGCCATTGGGTGCGGCGCCCAGGGTCAACTCGGATTGGACTCTGAAAGCATCACACTTGGACCGGACCGCTTTTTTTGCAATGCCGAGCCAGAGACAGCTGTGCAAAGCCGGGCTGCGCAGGCACAGGTTGGCTTCGTTCACTACGCAGGTTGCATGGTAAATGAGGCCAACTATGGTGAACACACGAGAACGCATGTACCAACACCCGCAACCAAACAACAAATCACAAAAGAAGCGAACCTCACACAAACAAAACAACAAACAAGCAAATGCGCAAAGAAACAAGCGAACAACCACACTACCACACAACTCCCAAGTTGACCTGCAGGAGAGTAAGCCCAACTTCGGCTAGTTTCAAAATCAAGGCCATTAATCGGAAACCCAAACCAAATTTTCGTTTTGAGACAGTTAGTGAAATGTTTCGGGGCAGCTGCAGCTGTTGGGGCATCCTGGCTCCAGTTGGTTGAAGCCCCTAGGCAGGCCCGTAGTCATACCAGCTGTGCTGATCTTGACTAAGGTGGCGGCGCTGGTGAGGGGAGCACTTGATCCTCTCAGATTCTGTGCCCAGGGTTCCTGAGAAGCGCTCAAGAAAGATGGAGAAGCACGTCACGTACCTCTTTTCGCCACTCTGCCCGCCCCGAAAGCGTTCAGGAGCTTGCTTGTGGTCAAAGCATCTAGGGCCAAGACGAATCGATTTGATGATGACCCAGCTGATCCTAAAATCTGCGGACGAGCCCTGGCAAAGCAACGATCAGGGGCCACCGTTTTTCCCGGGAGTTTCTGCCGCGTTCCCACCGAATTCCGCCGCGAATCGGGGGTGGAACAAGCTGATGAAAAATCTGAAGATAGCCACAGGTTGTAAAATGGGTTGACTTTCGTCGAGTTCGGCTGAGTTGCTGCGCAATGCGCCAGGGCGAGCTGTGACACTCCTTTTGCACAAGCAAAAGCTGATTGTACCAAGGACGGCAGTGCCACTGGACCCCTTTGATTAATTGCATGACGGTCCAGCGTTGCAGGCTTCACCTCATGTTCCTAGTGAAGCTCACGCACAATGGTTTGCAAAACTGATTCGAGCCAAATGTCACAAATGCGAAGCCATGCAAGTTGTTGTCCTGTTAGTCGAGGCGGGCGGGCGAGGAAACAAGTTCGGCCGCAATTCAATCAAACACGCCGCAAAATAGGAAGAAATGTCGCAGATCCAAAAAGGTGCTTTTTATTGAATTGCGGCAGACATTTCTGCCACAACAAAATCCCCTTCGGTGTATATATATATATACATATATGCATTTATGAATGTGTGCATGTATGCACATATTGTGTTGGGGAATGGCATCATCACGCGCTCGGTTGCACAATTTGAGCCGCTGCAAATGTTGCCTCGCCAAGCGGCCGTCATCTCCTTCAAAGTCTGAAGTACGTCAGCGGGAACCTGATCCAGGGCCAAGAGAAACAAAGCATATAAGGCCACGGCCCTCAGGTACCCCTTACTTTGTGGTTTGGATCGGTGGGTTGGCGGTTTCAACCCCAGCTCCCTTGAGGGTCCAAATCACCAAGCCAAACCTCTGGGGGTTCAGGTGAACTGCTCCCTCCCAAAAAAAACACACACACACACAAACAAACAAACAAAAGCCCGGCAGGTAAAGGGCTCGATGAGACTTAGCACCATGGAAGGCCAAAGTTGCCAAAACAAATCAAGCTTGGCACCTTGGCCCCGAGTTTGTGGGTACGTTGCCAGGAATCTGTGCTGACCCGTGCGGTTTCCCGTACAAAGAGAGGATTTTGCGATTTCCGGCGGAAAAAAAGGTTTGCCCTTGAGTACATAGGTGCTCTTTTGGAAAATAGTTGACCCTGGCAAATAGAATAACACGCATGTATACCAGTGTCATCTACTTCTATCCAAATTAACCCAAAAAGAACACCTCTATATATAATATGTTCTATATGCTCGGGTGAGTTGTAACCCTCCCAAAAGGACATGGACAAAGGGTGCAACCTGCCCAGGGACAGTATTTGCTGTACTTCATCAAGGAGGTAACCCTTCACACATCCAACATGCTTGCCTGGAGCACAAGTCAAAAGTTTCAAGGGTTCCTCAAATGGGATTTCCCTTCGGATGAGTTTGGTTGGTTCATGCTGCCCGGAAAGCAACCGCTTAGTCTCCGGATCACGTCTTGGGTTCGATGCATCCCGGCACGTCTGGCCATGGTCCAAAACATCTCCATTTGTTGATTGATCCACAAAGCCAAGAGTGGAAACCTGGATCCACATAGCCAAGAGTTGGATCCATTTGTTGATTCCCCAAAAGGAAACCTGGGCTTACTACTTTGGGGCGACAAATGGGACTGGAAACCAAGCGGCCTCATCGCCGGGCTCATCCTCAGCAGCTCACGAGCGACGTTTCTGGCTACCAGAAACCGATACCTCTGGTTGGTCAGAAACAGTTAGAACCCCAAAAGTTCAGTCCACTGAAGTTGCCCAGGAGTGTTGGACTGAGTGTTGGGGTTGCCACTAAATCCCGACGAGTGTTGGGCTTGCCACTAAAATTGAACAAACGCCACAAGTCTACAGTCCAACTCACGCTCAGGTATGACGCCCCCTTAGGTTTGACTAAAAACATTACCCTGGATGACCAAAACATCATGAAACAAATGAGGCCACTGGGATGCGCCACCAACGTCAGGTAAGCAGGTTGTGGCCATGGTTAAGGGAACAACCGCAGCTACCCCGGTTGTAACCGTGGTCGTAGCCTACTTACCAGGTTGGTTGCACCGGCCCGCCTTAATTTTCCCAAAGTTGTCCTACACCCCAAAGACCCCCAGACTCCCGTGGGCAACTTGCTCAGTCACACACACACACACACACCGGTCATCAATGTGAGGTACGGTGTGGGTTGCCTGTTCCCCGCAGAGCCAAAACGGGCGTGGCCCCTCCTTTTGCAGTTGAAAGTTAGGGCTCATCCTCCCATGTTCACCTCTCCCAAATGGACAAATGGTCCCTGTAATGGGCCAGGAAAATAGAATTCCGCCCTTCCCAAACTTTGGTACGGTAGCATCAGCTTTGCTTTTTCCCCTGCCAACAATGAACAGAACAGAACAGAACCAAACAACTCAGAAGCTCGTTGCTGTGTTGTTCTTCCTTTTTTTGAAGAACAAAGGCATTTCGAACAGTGAAGTTCCCTTGGTTGCCATCCGCAACCAAGGGAAGTGGAGCCATCACTTCAGCCCAGCTTCCATGCGCACCCATGCGAAGCCACGGCCGGAGGAGAGCACCTCGCCTCACAGCGTGGCCCACAAAACACACGGGTACCCTCTCTCCCGCGTTGCCATGGCACCTGGCCATGGGTCAAACCCCCTTACCCCCAGTGAATATCTCAATCCCCACAAAACATGACTAAAATGGGTGGTGCACCTACCCCAAAGTCGTACCATTGGTTTTGACCCACAGCCACCTGACAGGGACTCGGTTCCTACAGGAAATTGATCTTCCAGATGCCCCACAAATGACATAGCGGGAAGGGTACACAGAATAACAAGTTGTTGATGCTGGAAACTTCAGTGTTTCACCCCAAATAGAACATGGTGTTGGATGATACCCCAGAAACACCCCCATTCCAATGCAAGGGAAAGATGGGAAACCCTAAGGGAACTGAAGGACTCCGATATAAACCCATTTTCTGCGCCAAGGCTTGGTCTTTTAAAGGCCATAGAAGCAACCCTGAGTACGGTCTTGAGTGCACGAATGCAGGTGGACCTCTGATCAGGTAGAAACCTCTCAGTGCTTCCCCTTGCTCAACTAATGCTAACTCTGCAGTAGTAAATACCACCGATCACTTAGGCGTGGTTTGGGCACCTAATACAAAACAACTGAATATCTCATTCATGCGCGTGTTTGGCAGAACCACGTTCCCGCACAACAAATCAATTGATGTCAAATCCGGTACACATAACACTTTATCTAATTTCCAGATTCGCCCCAGCCACAATTACCTTCTCCCGCAGACCACCTGCTCCCGAATCCTTCTAATTAATCCGATGACCTTCTTCTGGAACAACAACGGATCTTTCCACTCGCCTTCGTACTCCTTGTCAGACACCGGCCGCCTTGCGACGCGAAGCGCGAGGCCATTTCTTCCGGCGCTTCTACTCTTCCATCTGCTTGAGCTGCCAGGGAAAAGACGTGTGGCATGGGTGTATCCTTTGCAGAGAACAACACTTTTGGCCAGTTGTAAGGCAACCCCAAAAGAAAACAGCGAATTGGGGATCCTGTATTCGGAGTCGGGGGCCCTTTGGACACCATTTAGGTGGGGATTGTGTCCACTCACCAACCACTTTTGAGGCGGTTCCCCATTAAACTTCATGGCCATTTGATGTGCTCATTCCAACAGGGACACATGGAAGGCATGTGCATTTCGGTCAGTATGCAGGCGGCCTCTTCACCATTGGCCTGCTGGGATTGGGTGTTTTCCTGTTGGTTCCCTCCAAACCAAAAGGGAATTTCTCCAAAAGAAGAGGCTCCCAGAAAAGGCGATCCCCCCAAAAAACACACACTCACACGTTACAAGAGGCGGTTTGTTTTTGTGGGGTACCTGCACTTTGGCATACCCGATTTGATCCCAGCCTCTGCTCCAAGTATGCACGAGCCGCCCGGCGCTCTGCATCCATACGAGGCGGGAGGTTTGGGGTCTGGGATTTGAATGCCAGCGGGCCATGGAAATGTTAGACCCCGGTGGCTCTGACAAAAAGTCGGAAGGCGACAGGTTTATGCGGCACGGTCTACCAAAAGTACGTCCAGGAATTTGGGGTGTAAAGTTTTGTCGTGTTCAAGGCTCGCAAGCGGTTGCGTACATTGATGAATTCTGATTGTTGTAATCGATCCGCTCGCAATGGGTGCGCACAACCTGGACCAAACAGATCTGACGCCTGCAAAAAGATCGCATTTTGCTGGTTGTAAGGGAAAATGAAAGAAACCCGAAAGGGCAAAAGAAAGAGCAAAGAGGTGAGTTATGCTCACGCGGGGCTAACTTGCAGCGTCTCGATGCGTTTGGCTTCGGGCTCTTGATGCTTTTCTGCTGCAGGTTGACCATTGGCCCGGTCTCTCATCTGAGCTCTCGTGAGAGGGTCGAGCCCCCATAACACCACCAAAACAATCACCGGCGCGTTGCTCTCCTAGCCAACAAGAAACCGATCCAAACCAACCGTATTTCGGCAACATTTCTTCTTGGACGAATCTACTGGATCGCCCATTGCTGTTTTCCCTTGGCCACTGAGACTGCTTTTAGACGTTTTTAGTTTTTAGTGGAAGGAGACAGACACAACCTGGCTTTCTAGACCGTCTGTTTTGGGGGGAGGATCCTTTCCTGGTCGGCTCCCGTCGAAACAAAAGTGCGTTTTTGTTCGGCCCCCTTTAGTCTTCCCAGGGGCGCCCTACACAGTTTGGAAGCTTGGCCTTGGAGAAGTAAGCTTGCTTCAACTTCGGGCGAGCTCCGTTCGTTCTGACTTTCCGAGAGCCAAAAGCTGCTAGGAGACTCCAATCGGGGATTGAACATCCTCGTGCAGGCGATGGCCGAAGGGCAACTTGGCCTGACCGATCGGAAGGGGTCCCTGATATTCTGGACATGTCCTCCCGCAAATATGCCTGGAGACTTGTGTTGTTCCATACGCCAAGGAATGTGTTTGCCACTCGACAAAAATGGATCCAATGCAATGTAGGACAGCAGATGAATAACCCCGTTTCAATCTGCTCCCCTTTGCAATATCACCCGCAAGTGGCAAGGAACCCCAGTTTCTGCCTTGATAACCCCCTAAGAAATTAGCAGTCAAAATAATGACCTTGAGCGTAGTATGAGCCATGCATGGTGAAGTTACTAGCTTCCCCTGACGGGCATGGAGAAATTAGTGAGCCCCCTGTTTTTGTGGGAAGTTAGTGAGTCCACAGTGTCCCCCCCAAATGGACCATACTACATAGACTACTGGAAGTTTGCACCAAACCTCTGGTAAGGATATCAAATCGTTGGACTCTGTGGTGGACATTGGGCTTCATGTCCAACCATTGAGGGTGTCCCGACCAATAGACATCACACAACAGGGGGAGCAAATGTGCTTCAGCTGCTTAGCTTCGCCTCCAAACTCGCAACAATATGGATGAATGAATCTCAAATCAAAACAGATCTCACAAAAAGGGAGCCCAGTCTTGGATGGTTTGGGGGCTAGCTAAGTTGTAGGTTTGCAGGCGCTTGACTAGCTCTGTGGGGGATACTATTCCTCCGAAGTACAAAGGGAAACCACACTGAAAACCTTCACTTTCTTCCCCCGAATTGGTGCTAACAACTGGGTTTCTTTCGGATGCGTACAAACACATTGTGCCAGCGGTCGGATCTCGTCTCGTCGAACCCCCCGAGCGCCCTGCGCGCAGCACTGCCACTGGCTCCGCACCGCCCGCAGCTTAGCTTCCTCGGACGCCAATTTGTTTTGTTCTGAGAAGGAGTCAGGGTGAAACTTGGCCAAATGTTCCAACAAAGGGCTTAGAATAAGCATAATTCTGTTTCGCAGTTTTTTTGGGGAAAAGCTAACAATTACCAATTCCCTTGTGTGTTCCTGTGGGGAACATTGAGAAGTATGCGCTATGTTGAACCTGCTTTCTTTGTTTCAATCGATTTCCTCCTGAGGGAGACCACTTCTCGTGCCATCAAAGAAACCTGGACCTAATGGACCCCCTTTTCTGATTTGGACCCACCAAAAGAAACACAGAGTACAGACGTACACCAATCTGGATCACATGCGCCAAGCGTCGATGGCCTCATCCGAGTCGTCCACCTGGCGTCAAACATGAATATGTGCACATGACCAGAATCATTTTTGGCGGTGGACGCTCCACATGTTGCAAATAGGGAACACGGGAAACCTGCTAAGTCACTGCAAGTTAATGGGTAAAGCAACTTTTGGAAAGGGAATTCACCCTTACAACCCTGGGTAAATGCAGCTGGCACAGGCCGTCCAGGCAGAACCCAGATCAGCAAATCGGCATATTTGACTAGTTGGCAATACGGAGTCTTAAACATGCAACACAACCACGCAAAACACACAAACACACAAGCACAAACAAACAACAAAACACAGACAGACAGACAGACAGACAGACAGACAGACAGACAGACAGACAGACAGACAGACAGACAGACAGACAGACAGACAGACAGACAGACAGACAGACAGACAGACAGACAGACAGACAGACAGACAGACAGACAGACAGACAGACAGACAGACAGACAGACAGACAGACAGACAGACAGACAGACAGACAGACAGACAGACAGACAGACAGACAGACAGACAGACAGACAGACAGACAGACAGACAGACAGACAGACAGACAGACAGACAGACAGACAGACAGACAGACAGACAGACAGACAGACAGACAGACAGACAGACAGACAGACAGACAGACAGACGCACACAGACCAAATAACCCGATAAACCATGATAAACCCACACCCACAAAAAGCAAGCAAGCAAGCAAGCAAGCAAGCAAGCAAGCAAGCAAGCTAGCTAGCTAACAAACAAACAAACAAACAAACAAACAAGCACAACAACCAACCAACCAACCAACCAACCAACCAACCAACCAACCAACCAACCGACCGACCGACCGACCGACCGACCGACCGACTGACCGACCGACCGACCGACCGACCGACCGACCGACCGACCAACCAACCAACCAACCAACCAACCAACCAACCAACGAGCCAACGAGCCAACGAACCAACCAACGAACCAACGAACCAACGAACCAACGAACCAACGAACCAACGAACCACCAACCAACCAACCAACCAACCAACCAACCAATCAACCAACCAACCAACCAAAACAATTAACCAACCAAGCAACCAAGCAACCAAGCAACCAACCAACCAACCAACCAACCAACCAACCAACCATCTAGCCAACCAACCAACCAACCAACCAACTAACACTTCAACCAACCAAACAATCAATCAAACCAACAAGCACAACAAACAAACAAACAAACAAACAAACAAGCAAGCAAGCAAGCAAGCAAACAAGCAAGCAACCAACCAACCGCAATCAAGCAACCAAGCAAACAACCAGAGAGCCAACCAGCCAACCAGCCAAACAACCAACCAACGAACCAAACGGACAGACAAACAAGCATACAAACAAGCATACAAGCAAGCAAGCAAGCAAAGGACACAATACGTACAAAA